ATCCATCGTAACTTGCGAGGAAAGCAGAGCCATTCTTCGATTCTCCAGCGAGCCAGAATCTTGAAAGGTCCGTGTTCGCAGGAGTAAAAGCTGTGACAGTTCCAAGAGTGTCGGCCGTAGAGGTCCCGGCCAACGGCTCCCAGCTCTGATCTTTAGGATTGTAGGTTGCGACGACAGTCTGATTTCCCGAAACAGTAAGATTTCCAACTGCAATCAATTGCTTGTTGCTGATCCACTTCAGTGCCAAGACGTTACCATATAGAGTCACGCCTGGTCGATTCCACTGTGCCTCGGTTGTATCATAAAAACAGACGGCGGGGCAAGGCAGCGCTCCAGCAGTTTGGAAATTGCCTCCGAAATAGATTTCGGTAGTTCCAGGGCGGGCGGCTATTACATTGACTGAGACGTCTTTCCCGGTAAATGGGGGAGGAACATTCTCAACGAACGACTCATTCTTCAAGTTGTATGCCACGAACCCATTAATCATGGAATTGCCCACGGTTCCGGTAACGTTCCCACCTGCAAACAGGGTATCGTCCGAGACGGTCAAGGTCAAAAAGGTGGAATTCCTGTCAAGTCCCGAGCCAATGCCGCGGATAGTCTTGTCAGCGCCATTCAGAATAGCGAGATTTTGGACTGAAGAGCCATCGCTGGCGGTAGTGGTGAAATGACCACCAAGAATAGTAAGGTTGCGGCCAGAATTTGTGTCATAAGTACCCGTGAATGTCCCAGCACTGGTATTAGTTCCGCCCACCTTTGTCAACAAGGGGTCCAGACTCATCCCGTCATTATACAACAGCGCCACAGCGCCTGCCGCTGCAATACCACCTGAAGCTAGATTGCCTGCGAGGATACTTGTGTTTTCATGTTTGGCGTAAGCGGCTAATTGCCCGGCGTACTCGATTTGGCTGACGTTAAGATTTTGAAGCCAGTTTTTGTGCGAGGGAACCCATACAGCAAACCCAGATACATCGGAAGCTAATTCATTGCCAAACGAGAGTATTCGGCTGAAGTCACCGCTCACCCCAACCACAGTCTCATTGAGATCCATGGAGAAGTTCAACTGTAAAGCTATTATCCGGTCCACAGGACCATTAACACCGCCGCCCAGAGCTGACCAGGTTTTAGTATCGAAGGAATAAGCTGCGACGTGTTCGAGGTTCTGATTGCCGCCATCAGATGTATCGGTAAAGTTTCCTCCCACGTAGAGGAAGTCGTCCAGCACCGCCATCGATGTGACTTCAGAATTCAGACCACCCCCAGTCATTGCAGTCGCATTTCCATCACCGAAAAACATGATATTGTGAATGGAAGAATCTGAGAAGTTTCCGCCAGCATAGATTCTATTGTCATGCTTGGCCAATGTCTTCACAGAAGCACCAGAGTCAAGCTGTAACCCCGCTTTATCAACGGCAGATTGTGTCAGATTCACACTTGTAGCCTTGGAAGTGGGATCATATTCAAAAAGTCCATTCAAGTCTCCAGTTGTCGAATTGCTTGATGCATCCGTGAGCACAAACTTGACCCTTGATGCTACCACCGTGATGTCTCCTTGGCCGGCCACCGGAATCAGCGTCACCTTTGGACGAAACGAACTACCACTGGCATCGACATGACCGGTGTAGATGGTGTCATACTTTTCGTAGAGATTCGTTTGGTGGATCACAGTCTGAATATGCTCGTCGGAATCCGTTGTAACAGTGGCTGTCACGTTGACGATACCGCGTGAGCCACAGGTTCCATCTTGGGTGCATCCAGGGGTGTAGATAAGGATACTATAGTTTCCGGACTGCTTGACGTCGGGTTCAAAGACCACAGAAGTGCTGTCTGCAGTAGAATCGGTGACATCAGCCGTTAAGTACTCGGATGAACTCTGTCCGGACTTCGTTGTCGACCAAGAGCCCGTCCGGGTTGCTTTGGAAGGATACTTGATGCTTGCACATGTGGGCTCGTTAAACGCATCCACGGCATAGGCGAAGATTCCTGTCATATTCAGTTTCAGCAAGCGCAAACAGTTGAAAAACCATATTTATGCAGTGAACTCACCTTCCTGAAAGAGCTCAATTCCATTCAATCCGGCACCAGATCCATACCAGTCGGAAATTTCAATTTGGAATCCGCTCATGCCCACGACATTCACAAATTCGAAGTCACGGTATTTCTCGTCTGTGCTGTTGGACATGGCGCAGGTAGAGTCGCAATGAACGTCGTAGCCGGTGTTAGGATCTGTGTATGTGAAGTTCATGATGCCATTGTCCGGAAGCCTTCTGAACAGGAAGGTTTTGGTGCCCCTGCCCTCGAAATGGGTATTGTACAGACGGAGTTTAGTTGGTCTGTACTCAAAACCCATATCTGCTCGCCAGAAGCCTGGCGAGTAATCAGCAAGCAGCCATGTCTTTCCTTCGCCGTCCTCGCCACTAGTTTGGCAGATAACATTCTTCGGGTCACTGTAGCCTGATCTCGAGGAAACTGCATCGGAGGTAATTGTGGCATCCTGGAGGTTGACAATCTGCTGCTGCTTCTTGGAAGATGTGGAATTGCCGACGCCATCGAATGATCCAGCGAAAATTATATGACCATCGTCATTCTTCAGGATGGATTCCACCGGTCCGTTGAGCCCATCGAAGGACAGTGTCTGCCAGCCTTCACCTCCGACCCAAGCGACCGCGTTCGATGTGTTCTCGTATTTGAAGTAACCACCCACGTAGACGCTGTTGGTCTCCTGGTCGCACAGCAGCGCAGAGACCGACCCTGAAAGGCCAGGCAAAGCTGTAACTTCGTTGGAGTCAGGCTTGTATAGCGCTGCACCCTTGGTTTCAACGTCGCCTAGCTTAGTGAAGTTCCCTCCGACAAAGATGCCCTCATAGGTTCCATCCTTTCGCGTGAACGCACACATTGCACGAATCTGGGCATCGGATGACGAAAGCGCTGTAAGTCCGCCATTTGGAAGTGGTGTCAGAATCGATTGTCCGGCATCGTGGACCGAAGCTGTCTTCGATTGTTCGGTATATGAATAAATTGACGCAGCATCGAAATCTCCCGTAAAAGCGACTCGGCCTAAAGGCGACAGATCCAACTGAGGTTCTGAAACTGAAGTAAATGACAGTCCCAAAGCAGGAACTGCTTGAAAGATTGGCAAAAAGTTCAATAGGAGGGCGTACGAAAAACCAGCCGTCGCAGGCCCAGACAGTGAGGCAGCCCTCATTGTTTAGGGGCGCGACGACAGGCGAGAGAGAGTAATCGCCCTGAAGTTTGTTGCAGAAATCCTGACCCAAGATGTATGTAAAAAAAAGAAAGCTGGCTAGGTGGAGAATGAAGATGAGTTTCTATATAATGAGCTCAAATTCCTCCACCCAAAGTCATGCAAGAGGCTGGCAAAGGAGAGACTCGGAAATGAATGTGGAAGTGAGGAACACGAATAATGTGCTAAAGGGGGATAGGAAAAACAACGATAGGTAATGAACGAATAGAACTCCGTGTTCTCAAGAGGGAAAAGACTCAATGCATGAATAAAAATGGGCAGGATAAGAAAGTTAACGAATGACTGAATGAAGTTGGATGATGCGAAAGAATATTATGACATGGCAGGGCTCGTCTGTTCGAAGACTTGAAGTCTTGCGCATGGCGGTGGTGTTCACGTTTACCTTAGGTTTCAGGTGCCTAAGGTACTTGGAATCGATTATTACACCCCTTACTCGAAAAGTCTAGGTCGACTTACTGCGGGTCGTCTTGGTCATTTAAGCGGCCCACTTCGAAACAGAGTTGAGGTGGTTCGGTATGTAAAAACACGTCTCGACTGTTTACCAGCCACGGCCGTCTACGTAAGGTACGGTACCTAAGGAGCCTAGGTAAGTACCTACTTCGTAAGGTAGATTCCAGGTACCGTACCGTACACAATACACAGAATCACGATGAAAGCCATGCAATAATGAGGAGGCAGGATGCATGAATCCCTCTGGTGAGGGACAGATGGGCTGTAACTCCGTACACATACTACTACGTAGTAGGTATGTTTGGGTTGGGAAAGTTGATACTCGGTCTGCTTAATGTCGAAGTAAGGTAGGACAATAATAGCCGTGAGATTTAGATTAATACATATGTGCAGTGCCTGAAGCCGGCCACCTCACATTTACTCATGTACCCGAAGTGCTATCATCCAACTGTACCAAGACTAGTAAGGTATCATCAAAATACCTGAGTACACACCTACGGTATCGAGTTTGGGAACTAGTAAGGTTCCTTGCTAAGTCAAAAACCTCGACGCTAAATGCTATTCATAGTATCATAGTACTAGTATCAAGTGGCCAAACCACCGAATGTAGATGATGACGTATCTGGAATCTGCTAAATACTATGCCGCTCTTTAACAGTTCATGTAGGATCCTAGAGGTATAAGTTGAAGAATAATAATAATAATGACATGATTGTCGAAAGGTCAACTATCAATCTAGCAGTATCGAACTCCTGCAATTAAGCACATAGTACATTGCAGGGAACATCGTCGTTGTTTGATTTCCGTGATATGAAACAATGGGCGACCAATATGATGATAATTCCTGTGGTGATTTCTCTTCGGCTTTTTTCAATCCGGGCTGTGCCCAAAACCTTGCGATGTAATGGTACACTGTGCTGGAAAACAGTACAATGATAGTTACTGAAAGCAGCGTCCATAATCACTTATTTGGTCGTTGCCAATCGAGGACATGAAATGAGTCAGAACGTTGTGCATACTGCGCATGTGTACTGAAGTAAAGGCAAAATTACGTATGTATATGCTACCTTCTCCAAACTTTGAATCTAGGTAGTCTCACAACTTCTACCAAGCTGTTGTGGTAGAAGCGGGTGTTGCCTTCATAGAAGGAGTGGGAGAACCATTGCTGAGTATGAATAGGTCCTTGAGCGAGGGTATGCTATCTACAACCCTAACATTAATCTGGTCCTTTTGCAGTTGGCCGGTCTACCCAGAGTCATGAACCACTGTCGATCCGATTGCGCCACTTTCACCTGGGGTTTCCAGCGTGATCAATCTGCGGCTTCTCCGAGTCAATTCCCAGGGGTCGTTTACCCTCAGACGTGACATACTTCCACTGCTCCACTTCACATCCACCGCGAAGGATCCCAACGCGCATAGTCGATAGCAGATTATGGGCGGCGTTGGAGTGCTGATAGACCCCTCCGTTGAACATAGCAGTGGCGTCTTTTCCGATGGCCGATGAGATGAATGCCTTGCCTCCTGGATGCTCCTTGATGAAGTCGGAGACATCATGAATGACGCCACCAATGGCCACCAGGGCCTTGTTAGTCGACCTCGACTTAGTAGCAAACTCATCCCAGTCTACCACAGGAAGTTGTTCGAGGGGAATGCCCCAGTCTAGAGTCGCGCGTTTCTGGTCCACCTTCTTCTGCAGCTGCTGCAGTCGTCCCTTTTCAATCTCGTTGTAACGAAATTGCTTGAGATCGTAGGCGAGCCCAAGCTGTTTCCAGATCCAGATCATCCACTTGGTCGGGTCATACTGCCACCATTGAATTGCATTGCGATAATCGGAAGGGAATTCATGATGGAAATTATGATACCCTTCACCTAAGGTCACCAGTGCTGTGATGACATGATCCCGCGGGGAATTACGGTCGTCGAATGGCTGCTCACCCAACCAATGAGCCAGTGAATTAACACAGAAGGTGGCTTGTTGGATAAAGAAAACACGCAGAATCCCAGCATATACCAACCCACCCTGCCAATCACCCCATCCCAAGCCGCACAACAGAGTAGGAAGAATTAAACTCATGAAGAGGGCGGACTTGATATAGTGCTTGTGCTGCCAGACCACCACAGGATCTGCGTCGAGATCTGTGACATCTGTGCGGCCAACTTTCTTGTAGTTTTGCTTCATAACGAGCCATCCGATGTGCGAGTATAACAATCCTTTCCGGACTGAGTATGGGTCCTTCTCTGTATCCGTGTAGCGATGGTGAGCTCGGTGGCCACGCGCCCACCAGCGGATCGAGCCCTGGCCCGCAGCGACGCCGACGGCGGCCAGGTAAAGCTTTAAGGGGAGGGTAGCTTTATACGAGCAATGCGCCCAGCATCGGTGATATCCTGCAAAAATCAGCGATCTCACCATTTACAATGAAGGGAGAGGTGGATAAAACGTGGGAAGGAAGGAGATTACCAGCAGTGATGCCCAGGCCTGCATTAAAGTAGAATACAAGCGCAAAGAGGGCTGTGCGTGGATGTAGAGGGGTCCAGTAGGCCCCAATACAACCCAGAAGGGGGACGAAAAGAATGAAGAAGCAGTTCAGCCAATTGATATGCCGATGCCAGGTTGACCATGTCATGGGCTGCTCAGTGATATGCGATGTTCTGGCGGTGGTACTTTTACTCTTCCATATGGGAGCGTGATCAGTGGCGCCATCATCGGACTTGGCCTCAGGGTCCTGGACGTTATCAGAGATCATTGTGTTCGTCGTAGAAGTTGTCGATCCATCTATTTGTTCGAGGAAGAATGTCAGAAAAAGAAGAAAATCTTCAGCGTCGTTAGTGAATAGGTAGTGACTGGTTAAGTTTTGGGTGATCTATACGATTAATGACTCGTTGGGAAGCTGAACAAAGAGGCTGCCAAATCGGACATGCCATGTTTTGCATCCCTGCGAATAGTAATCGAAGGAATATCGACGTTGTTCTTTTCAAACCTGATATTAGTGTTGATGTTGTTGGGGAAATCTGTTGAGAGGGTGGGAACTGCGCAACAATCGTGAGACACAATGAGATTGACCTCAGCAGATCATAACCCAAAGATTTCAGGAACTATAATCAATTCCGGCAGCAAGTTGAATGTAGCACTAAGCATAATTCGCAGAAACCTGGCTTATATGAACTTTTCTGCGCATGTGGAACTCGGAGAGTTGTAGAGGGGATGGAGGGGTGGAGGTAGGCTGCTATCTCAATTTATGGTGCGAGAGCTAGCGACATAGCTCACCATGGCCACCAGAGGCGTCGTGTGATAACTGTATAGGGAGCTACGTGGAAAGTTGATATGACCTTGTGAGGGAGAACTTCTTGGAGTGTTTTCTGGTGGTTGAGAATGGCGACTCATCCAAAGCCTGCCATGTATGATAGCTTTCGGCCACAGTCCAATTATTATCATCATCTGCACCTGGTCCAGTTTTATCCCCTCCCTGCATGTAGCTTAGATTCACAGCTATCAGAAGGTCCGAGTGTTCTGTTGCACACAAGCAGAAGCTTTGCCATATGAGCCATACGCTGGGTCTATTCAAAGCCCTGCTGCTTCGGTAGCTCTTCACCTCTAAGACGGGACCAATGTGTAGTCTGGACCACCGGTTGCTTAATATCGTCTGCATTCGCTGTACTGAGGGCTTAATTAGTGGCATGTCAAGGCATACCCTCCTTGGAGTAAAACTGAACAATTGCGCCGGGCGAAAGTTCGAGGACGGCGGGGTCCATATCGTCGATTGAGAGGGCTGACGGACGCAGGGAGGAAAGCCGCGTTGCCTCGTCTCTTCTCATCAGCGGCGGATGAATGCAGTTTACTGATTTCCTAGATGTGATAGCTGTAGTCCGGGAGTTTGTGTGGCAGTAGCCCGGCTGGTTGCCAGCCATAACAGATGATGAACATGACAATGTGCTGAGGGATGAGGCTTCTATCTGATCAGCGCGCTGGTCAAAATTGATTTCGAAGAGCGCTACACCAAGCACTCGCCGCAGCTCGAGCGGACATCTCCCCGCTATGAATCCAGGAGTGATGCGTGCCCTTGATGGCCATAGCTTATTTGTTTAGATAGCTCAAATTATTTGAGCCAGAGTCTCTCATTCCACAGTGCTGTTGTCAACTATCAGGTTGTACCTCAGCAGTCCCTAGGTCGTTGGATGAGCTATTTCTGTTAAGGAAGCGAATGATTTGGGCGTATCATATCATGGATAGGACAATTCTGGGAGAGCGAGGGCACCCCGTGGCTGAGCATTTATTGGGGCCTGAGGCAGCGAGTTTGTTAGTGCAAGAAGTGGCGCCAACTTAAATGAGAACCGCGTGAGTTGCCGACTGCCGCGCGCAACGCGAAAGTCCAAATTCCAAAAAAGCGCACATCTCAGAGTGAAGCTCAGCAGCTGATAGCTATTTGACCTCTGACTACGCTTTGATCGCCACATACAGTATCGCGATTCCGCTCTCTCTTCGTTCTTGACGCTGAAATCAGGAGTTGTGGATTTACATTCAAGGGCGGATTGCTCTAAAAACCCTCCACAATGTGAGATGCCTTCGTCGCACTCGCTCTCTTTGACTCGTTATACTCATCTCATTCATAGGGAGGCATTTGACAACATCTACCTCGACCTCTCAAAACAGCCCGGAAAATGCAAGCTCGCTGAGAGTGGTTTGGGATGGCGCCCTTCTGGCGGCGGTGATACCTTCACACTTGATAGCAACAATATCGGAGCAGCTCAATGGAGCCGGGCAGCGAAGGGATATGAGCTAAAAATCCTATCGCGCTCATCGGGTGTGATTCAATTAGACGGGTTTGACCAAGAGGTAGGACTGGTGGCGAAAACCAACCTTAATGGTAGATCTGGGCACTGTTTTATTGACTTTGCGGATTTTGAATAGGACTTCGAACGATTGAGCAAGGCGTTCAAGATCTGGTACGGCATCAATGTTGAGAACCGCGAGCATGCACTACGAGGGTGGAATTGGGGTAAAGCAGAATTCACAAAAGCAGAACTCGCTTTCAGCGTTCAGAATCGGCCTGCATTTGAGATCCCGTATTCGGAAATCTCGAACACAAACCTGGCGGGTAAGAACGAGGTCGCAGTCGAGTTCGCTCTTACATCAGACGGCGACGCCAATGCCCAACCTTCTGGAAGCACAAAGAACCGCGGTCGGAAAGCTGCTGCGGGTCCGGATGAGTTGGTCGAGATGCGTTTCTACATCCCGGGGACGGCGGTCAAGACAGAGAAGGGCATCAAGACAGAAAATGATGAGGAGAACGGAGAAGAAGAGGAAGAAGGCGAAGAACAGAATGCGGCCAACCTCTTCTATGAGACTCTTATGGAGAAGGCAGAGATTGGCGATGTCGCTGGTGACACCTTTGCTACGTTCCTTGATGTCCTTCATCTTACACCCAGGTACGTCTCTCCGTTGAACGCGCCTTTCCGCGGTTTCATACTAAGGAACTCTGCAGAGGTCGCTTTGATATCGACATGTACGAATCGTCCTTCCGACTTCGCGGCAAAACATACGACTACAAGATTCAATACGCCTCTATCAAGAAATTCTTCCTGCTTCCTAAGAACGACGAGATGCACACACTCATTGTATTAGGTCTTGACCCTCCTCTACGGCAAGGTCAGACTCGGTATCCTTTCCTGGTCATGCAGTTGAAGCTCGATGAAGAAATCAGCCTGGAGCTCAACATGACAGAGTCGGTTCCCTTCGAAATGTTGTTTTGATGTCGAACTTGGAACTAATTTTCTGTAGGGAGCTATTGGAATCCCGCTACAAGGATAAGCTGGAGCCTCGTTACGAAGAGCCGATTCATCAGGTCGTCACCAAGATCTTCCGTGGCCTGTCTGGCAAGAAAGTCATCATGCCATCAAAGGACTTTGTCAGGTCAGTCATACTTATTGTTCCCAATTCGCCTGACCCGTGCTGACTATGTGCAATAGCCACCACGGACACAGCGGAGTCAAATGCTCGATCAAAGCCAACGAAGGTCTTTTGTACTTCTTGGACAAGAGCTTGATTTTCGTACCCAAGCCCGCTACTTATGTGCAGATTGAGAATATTGCTGTTATCACCATGTCTCGTGTTGGTGGCGCCGTGTCCGCAAGTAGAACATTCGATATTACGGTCACATTGAAGGCTGGAATGGGTGAACACCAGTTTAGTAACATCAACCGGTATGCTATTTCCAGAACTACATGCCACTAGTGTCACTAATACCTACCACAGTGAGGAGCAACAACCACTTGAGGAATTCTTCAAGGCCAAGAACATTCGGTTTAAGAACGAGATGTCGGATGACGTATGTGTACTCCGACAACAAACCACAACTTTCTGGTCAATAGATGCTAATATATTGCAACAGACCTCGGCACTCATTGCCGCTGCCCTTGACAACGATGACATGATGTCTAGTGATGAGGATGCCGGGCGGGCTGATCGCGGCTCAGCAGATGAGGATGAAGAATCTGTTGACGAAGACTTCCATGCGGATTCTGAATCAGACGTTGCGGAAGAATTTGATTCTGAGCACGAAAGCAGCGGCAGCGCAAGTGACGCAGAGATGGATGACGCTTCGGACGCCGGCGATGACGAGGAAGATGTGGACATGTCAGAGGAAGAGGAACGACCCAAGAAGAAGAGCAAGATTGGGAAGTAGTTTGGTCTGTTCTGGACAAAATCGACATACTTATGACCATGGTTGTATAGTGAATACAATTGGAAGCGAACTCTCTTTCCCTTCACAGAATGGCTGTACCATCAATCTACAGACTGTCATGGTAATTTATGTTGATTCTAATGAAGTATGACTCTCGATTCTGAGCCAATATCTAGATATAGTCTACTCTTTAATTGCAAATACAGAGATCTCTTGGTGAAGGCCCCGGTCACTATTGCTTGAGCTTACTTTGGTTCTGATAAGTTGCATAAGCATTCGTCTATCGCGGCAGCTCTCCGTTTGTGGCAAATCTATTGAAAATTAACCCGGAAAGGGAGGCCCATATGCCAAGCAGGATTGGGTCTATCCCTTTAACAGATGCAGACTTACTGCTTGAGTTAGGCTGGGGGAAAGTTCATGAGTATGCATTAAACCGTGTCCATCTTAGTCATATTTCATCGGGCATTGTTTGTCTACAATGGACAATGCAGTTTTGTATGCAATATGTAGATCTCTGTAAAGCTACATTAGAAGCAGCAGTCAGCTCTTTGGCCTTTGTGATAGTTCGAAGCGCTACTTATTCTTATCAAGCACTACCTAGTAAATCTGCCCTTACAGTTAAGCATCCAACCTAACTCATCTCATTTAATAAAGTGCTCTCAAACCCTGCCTGCAGATTTGTACTACATCCCAATACTGCCGATATGTTACCTTACTTCACAACGGTGTGTGCTCCCATGGAATAGTTCTGTATGCCTTGAATAACCCGGAATATAAGCTGGATATATATTGATGATGGCACCATATCGGTAAATTCTTATCTTCGCTAACTCTATCCCGACCTCAGAGTATCCCCGAATCTTGCAAAACAATTGCATAAAGGATATAGCAATCAAAATATGAATCTTGACTGCCCAGATTTCAACTCTACCAAACCAATTTGATGGACCATCCATGGTGGTAATCCGATCCTGCCTCAGGCCGCTAATCAAGTTAATGATTGGTCGGTGGCTAAATTTCCGTTTGAATCTTGACGGGAAGTTCCATGGGAGGCTGTTTTTTAC